AAACTATGATGGCCATTTGTTTGCAGATATTTTAGCAACTAAATGATTATTCAGTGATGAAAAGAATTGTTAGCTGCAGCTTTAATGTCATCTTATTGTCGGCCATCAAATAACTCCAATAAAAAGGAGCATTTAGTCCTGAAAGAACCACATAAAATACATCAAACCTGTTCATTTGGTTGAAGTGGACTCAAGTCAGTTAGTACAGTTCATATTCTTTTTTTTTGTATATGTATGTGTGGGTTGTTTTTATTTTTAAACCATTTAAGTATTCCATTTGGCACACAGTTTTTTTGTGCTGTGACAACCTCAGAACACATATTTTCTACGGCTTTCCACAGACGTTAAATTCTCGCATAACCTCCTTCCTGTTCATTTGTGCCTAATCACTTAGAAACAGAAGAGCAAATAGATGAATTTATAGTTAGCATACTTTTATTTGAGACATAGCATGGAGATACGTGAGCATGAAAGTGGCTGACAGCTGGATTTTTAACCTGCTTTTTCTCGTCTTTATCCTGAGCTAAGCTAACCAGCTGCTGGCTGTTTGCATTTATGTGCAATTGTGTGGATGCAATTTATGGTTCATCAGATGGAGATTTGTTTACATCGGCCGTGTGAGAAGCGGATGATGGACCGGTCTAGTTGAGGGTTGAGCTATGTCATCGTGTTGTGAAGATAAAAGCGGAGCAGGTCGTTGGCTGGTGCCTGTTGAGCATTTTATTGGGCTTTTCCTGTTTGAGGAGAAATGTGGCTATGCATGGCTAAACCCTGGGGGGCCCTTAAACTGAGACTCTCTTTATGACACCATACGTAGCTGGAATGTTCAAGCACACATTTTATAGATACCGCTCACCCCGCCGGGACCACTACTGCTGCTGATTTATATTTCCATAAAGCAATATGAATATAATGAGTTTATGGCAGCGCTTGCTTTAGGTCGGAGGCTCAGTCACTGCTGACACTGTCAGGGGTGATTGGTAGGGCAAAGCAATGACATTAAATCAGCTTTTACTGCTGTTAACCGTTTGAAAGTGATGGATCTGAACAATGAGGCTTAAGGTGAAGTTTAAGGGGATGTTTTTATGGAGGGAACCACCTCAGTGAATTCATTCAGAGAACCAGGTGACTTGTACTTTTGACACATTTAGTATTATGGAACATGCCTCTGTTCTTTATGTTCTTAAGAGTGATTTAAACTCACAAAAATCTTTTAGTTTATAGCATTCTGTAAGAGCCACTTAAGGGTGTTATTCACATTCTAACATTAGTTTACTTTACACAATGACGAATGTATATTTTGAATAGCAGACCATGCTAAAGCTAAGTTTCTGTTTCTATTATTTTGCCTTGAAGTGGTCCAATACTGTCATATTGTTGGAGTTTACAGGTGATAATGCTGTAACGCAGGTTTATTACACACAAACAGAAACTCTTTTTGCAGCATGGTGTTAATGAGATGCTGGGAATCTAGTGAAGGTTTGGATCGATACAAGTTTTTGACAGGAAGCAACCTCTGGGGCTGAAAGATGAAGCCAATATGCCACAGTTGTCTTTTCCTCCATCCCCATGAAATCTCCTTCACATCTTCTTCTGGCCTCATAACTGTAGGGGTCAAAGAAAAGTGCTTAGATTTTTGACTATTTAACCACAACCACAAACTGTAACTGAGAAAAACAGAGCAGCAACTGGCTGAAAAATGAATCCAAAGTAGAAAAAGTAGCAAAAAAAAAAAAGTAGTTCCTCAAACAGCCACTTGAGGCCTTAAAGGCGAGTCGACCCCCATAGACCTCCGTGTTAAAAGGTTATACTTTACAACAGAAATAAACATGTTTACAGCCTGATACAAAAAAAGGTTTTAGTCTCTAAAGATGGTTTCTTCATTCATGATAAGTGTATGGGGGGTGAATCCGTATACAACTCATGAGTTTAAATTGTATTAAGGCTTATCAAAACATAAAGTGGTGTTTGTTTATTGTGGGGACAAAATGCATCATATTCACAAAATCACTTTCACTGCATGATTATATGCACCAGAAGAATTCACAATAATATAATTAAAGTGGGGCTGCAGGGTGGCGCAGTTGGTAGCACTGTTGCCTCGCAGCAAGAAGGTTGCCGGTTCTCATCCCGGTGGGGGCACCGGAATCTTTCTGCGTGGAGTTTGCATGTTCTCCCCGTGCAGTGTGGGTTCTCTCCGGGTTCTCCGACTTCCTCCCACACAGTCCAAAAACATGTTGAGGTTAATTGGTGATTCGTAGGTGTAAATATGAGTGTGCTTGGTTGTCTGTCTCTAAGTGTAGTCCTGTGATAAACTGGTGACCTGTCCAGGGTGTCCCCTGCCTTCACCCTAAGTCGGCTGGGATAGACTCCAGCCCCCCGCGACCCTGGTGAGGATTAAGCGGTGTATAGATAATGGATGGATGGATGGATAATTAAAGTGACACGTAAAATAATGTGTTTTTTAAAAAAAATTTCAATCAGTTGTTTATTATGTGGAGGGAGTCTGCAATCACAACTGCGCTGTATGTTGTTGTTGTGTCAACCATATAATTATTCCTACTGCTGCATTATTTATGATAGTATGTGTGTGTGAATAACATGATATCAGTATTTTATTTTTTAAAACATCACAGTTACATGTCATCTCAACGCCCCTCTTTGTAACAACTGTGCGCAATAACACATGAGCCTCCACGAAAAGCATGCACAGTAGTCATTCATATAGGATTGTGTAGGATTTTTTTTTTCAACTTTACAACTGATAACTAAAGGTGTAATAAATGTATTTGCCTATAAGGACTAACATGCAAACTGGTACATACAGTATTATAATGTTTTATACATTATGTGCTCACATTCTCATGTAAAATATTTTTTTGACTGAATATAAAAGCAATTAGTGTCAGTTTTTTTTGTGGCTGTTACAACTGAGGGTCACACCTTGATCTCTACTGAAAAACTAAGTGGTTTATAATGGCAGACACATGGTTTAAATCTCTGGAGGAGAAAATTGAGGGAATTCTCTTGTAGGAATCCTTTTTTGAGTAAATCCTGAATTCTCTTTCCACTAAACATGCTCCACATTTGTTTTTTTTACATTTGTGGATGGAAGACAACACGATGCCGAGGTTCACCAGAGTCTGGGGCAGAGTGAGAGACAGGGAAAGAGGGAAGTTGTCTCCCATAGCACGCTACATGACAGCCGGACAACCCCTGAATGACAAATTAACGAGGCGTGTGTGTGCAGACGTGTGTGAAAAAGGGAGTGTGTTTGATTGTCAGCTGGGAGAAGCAACCCCCTTTTTCCTATTTCTGCCACACTACAGCCTCTCTCATTGCTCCGGGGGGGAGGGTATCTGAAGAAAGAAAAAAAAAAAAAAGACTGAGAGTGACAGCCATGATTGAAGCATGCTCGCTGACAGGGCGTGGTCACTAAAAGAACAGAGGGAGATAAAGAAGAAGATGAGGGGAGGGGAGGTGGAGGAAAGTGAGGAGATAAAATAAATAGAGACGGCTGGCGTGACAGCGGTGATGAATAGGTGGAGGGGGAGAGTGGACGGCACGTGAGAATTCATAAAAAGTGATGAAAAAATGAAGAGGGAAGATATAAAAGCATGAAAGAGTTGGAGGGGAGGGCGCGTGAGAAGGAAGGAATGAGGTGTGGAGAAAGAGAGGAGGAGGAGGAGGATGCGAGGAAGAGCGAGGGAGGAAAGGAGGGAGGGGGGTAAAGGATGAGCTCATTGCAGTCACTGGGCTGATGACACGAGGAGGGAGGGAGGGAGGGATGCAGGAGGGGAGGGGTGGGGTTCGCTGCTTGTCTGCGAATCGATAGCCAGCGTCTGAGCACACAAACACACAACTGCAGACACGGACTCTGTCTGCTAAAGCGCTGTCTGCTTTCCTACCAGCATCCCTGTACAAAAAGAAAAAAAAACAAAAAAAACAGCTGCCAGTCAGCATTTTAGCCTTCAGCTTTCTTTCTCTCTGAACTCTAGTTTATGAGAAGAAGAAGAAGAAGAAGAAGTAGTGCAGAAACCCAGCTGCTGCCTCTCATGTCTGCTGCTTCTGCCTCACCCTCCCTGCCTCCCTCCCTCCATCCTCTCTCTCCGGCTCACACACATCCCGATCACATCCACACCCACACCCAAGGATACCCTCCCTGCCTCTCTCTCTCTCTCCATCTCGCTGTTTCTCCAACACCAGCCCTTCCTCCTTAACCCCTCCAACTAAAAAAAAAAAAAAAATCCTCTGAGGAAGAGATGCTCGCCTGACATCTCTTTTTTCTTTCTTTTTTTTTTTCTAAATCTCCTATCAAAGACTTTTTTCTATTTTGTGTTTGTCTGTGGATGCTTCTCTGTTTAATCCAGCCTCACTCTACTTTTGTTGCTACCTGTGGAGGTTCCTTGGTTCCCCGGTTCTTCTTCAGCCCTGCGGAGCGGCACCATGCTGGGATTGGACGTGTGCGAGTTCGGGGGTCAGGTGCTGGAGCTGCTGTGGCTGACAATGTGCTACAGAGGTGAGCCACAGGAAGAGTGTGTGTGTGAATTAGCACAAGTTCAAGTTGAGCTCATGGATGATCTTTTTTTTTTTATGGCAGTTGTTTTGAAGCTTTTAAAATATAGAAGTAAAGATTAAATGATGAGTTTTGGTTTTAAAATGTGTGTGTGTGTGTGTGTGTGTGTGCGTGTGTGTGTGTGTGTGCGTGTGTGTGTGCGTGTGTGTGTGTGTTTGCCATATGTCTCTATCCACGCGGGTGTGGACGTTTTTATGTCTAACATGAAGCGCTGCCAAGACAAGCCAAAGGTGGCAGATCAATAGCTATTGATCACATCCTACACTAAGCCTGTGTGTGTCCTTGTGTGTGTGTGTGCATGTCATGCATGTGTGCTGCTAGCTTTCTTAAAATTGTATTCCTGCTCATACAAAAAGGGTGTGTGTTTGTGAGAAATATTGGCTGAAAGGAAAACGCGCGTGTGTGTGTGTGTGGTGATACATGCAGCAGCCAAATTATGTCACAAACGTCTGCTCCTACTTCTAACAGTATTTTTTTTTTCTTTTCACTTCTGTATTTGCAAAGCGAGATAAGGCGGCTGTGTGTGTGTGTTAGTGTGTGTCTGTTACACTGCAGCATTGTTGAGCAGTTACAAATGGTGCCGGGGTTTCCCCCTCACACAGGTGTGCGCATGGGAGTGTGTGTTTCGTGTGAGATAAAGAAGAAAAAAAAGAAAAGAAGGAAAGGAAACAGGGAGGTGGATGCAGAAAAAAGTGTGAAGTAATTCAAAAGAGAGAACCAGAAAAGAGAGAGAAGTGGAGGTGTAATTTAGATTTAGAACCAAAGGTGCTGTGAATAATATTTTCTATTAACTGTGAATTTCAAACAGCTATTTAACTTCTGCAGCCAGTGTGGATGTGCGTTGCACCTTTCTGCCTGTTTCTCCTGCAGATTTGGCGTCAGTCCTCTCTGTCTTGAATTTGAGCTCAAACTAGAGACAGTTGCATTCTTTGAATCTGTCTGAAAAATAGATTTTTAAATGAAAATGAACCCCGAGGCTTTCAGAATTTCCTTTTGTTGTTGTGCTAATACTCTTTTATGCTTCCATCCTTGCAGTTGGGGAGCATTGTACTGCCTTATTAATTCTAGCCATATTACATTATAACCAATAGCCTACCATGCAGGATTGTTGTTTTATTCATCTGAGAAACCTGTTTGAGATACTTCAGTCACTTTTGAAGGAGTAGTACTAATCACATTAAATATGTTACTGTAAAAAACAAACACCATAATTGCATAATTTCTTTGTTTTATTGTCAAAAAATAAACGCATCTTGAAAGAGAAATTTAAGCAATAACTGCAATTTCTGTGCAGATTGTTGTGTCTCTGACACATCAGATCTCATCAAAGACTCTTGGCGACGACAGAGTTTTGAAAAATGAGGAGGAGCGGGAGAATTTGAGAGGAACGTGGGAGGTGACTGAGTGGAAGATAAATGGCAAGAGGAGCAAGCTGATGAAGCGAGGAGAAAGGTTTGGAAGAAGGTGTGAGGAAAAGAGGAAGAGAAGAATAAGAGTAGGTGGACTGGAAGATATAAGGAGAGGAATAAAGAAGGCATGTTTAGAAGAGATGAGAGGAGGAGGAGGAGGAGGAGGAGGAGGAGAGGGCATTTATTGCATAAAATAAGGCAAACAAAGGGGAAAATGTTGAGATCAACGTGTTCTGTCAGCAGCTGTTCTTAAACAAGAGCAGTTCGAGATATTTTATAAAGTGTGTGTGTGTGTGTGTGTGTGTGTGTGTGTGTGTGTGTGGTAGAGAGCGAGAGAGAAAGTGGGTGAGGCCTATGTGGCTGAACGCTTTTCATGATCTGTCAATCAGCAAACAGCAGCTCACACGGCGAGCAGCAGGCCTTGAAACGGGCTAATTGAAATCTCTCTTCTCTTTTCCACGCTCTCTCTAGCTTCACGTTTTCTAACCCAGCCACTCTTTCCCTCCCTGTTCCTTCTTCCTATTTTCAGGACTCTCTCTCTCTCTCATCTTCAATACCTCTTTTCTTTTCTTCCCTCCTTATGTCTGTCATTTATTCTTCCTCGCTCTATCTCCCCCTTTGCCAGATTAGCGAACGTAACCTCCACGCTCGGCTCCCTAATCCTCTCCCCCCCTCTCCCTCTCCTCTCTTTACCTGCTCACTTCTACTCACGTCGACGCTGTCAGCTTGTCAGATGAGAGTGTTTAGGAAACCGTACTCTATCTGCTTCTCACATCAAGCCTTTTTTTTTTTTTTTTGTTGTCCCAGGAGTGATAAAGGAGGTTGTATGGGTGAGCAGACACATACGAGACTAATCATGTCAGTCAATTAGACAACCTGCTGTCTCATCAGGGCCGACGGAGCGGCCGAGGACATATTACTGTGTGTGTGTGTGTGTGTGTGTGAGACATTAATAAAAGAGGACGTTGATTAAAGGGGTGGATGCACATTCATTTCTCTCTATGTTGAGCCGATGGCCTTAGAACACGGTGGCACATTTACGTGCATCAAACTGGTACTGTCTTGTGATTTAAGCTGCTCTCAGGAAGTTAGCGCTGTTGGTCCTTGCTGAACTACAGTCAGAGTCATTTAAACTGGAATATCAGGGGATTATTACTGTGAGTCAAAGTGATAAAACTTAATTTGGATATCAAGATTATTATATGGTGCTGTATCCAAAAGAATGAGTCTGTTTTTCACAACGTGTTTGCTGAAAAGCCAAAAAATACAAAATTGGACATTGTTTGTGGTTAAATAGTCCCAAAAAAAATGCATTCTATGTCTTTTTCTAAACACTTTTCATTGACCTAAATGGAAAATGCAATGAAATCAACAAAACATGAGAAGGAGAATTCCTAAATGCTTAGGAAAAGACGACTGCGATGCGATGGGAATCGGTTATACTCGGCTGCATAATCGTACGATGTTGGATGTTGTAAACATGAGTCTGTTGTGGATGGTTTGTCACTTTGAATGTTGCTGCTGCAAGGAATTATGGGACAGTATTATCTCGTTTTCTTTCATAAAGGATGGACCAGTGTATTTTTTGCTAAAGGAGATGAGAAAGGAAGAATTCTACCTACTCCTACACAAGTAGCTTTTACTTACAATAGCTATTGTGGGTCAATTTCACTTAGTTATCAACCTTCCTAAGCAAGCGTGACTATTTGACTGCAAATATTAACAAATATTTATTGTTTTCCTTTGTGAAAGGGCTGCACAGTAAATGGAGTAATAATCACAATCAGAATTTTGGCTTCCTACAGTTAAATGAATGTGATCAACTACAATATTGGTCGTTAAAATGCGTTCTACTTGTAGAAAACTCCACTCAGTAAAGACAGCCCATGTAGATAACACCACTTGGTTTCAACTTTAGTAAATCTGATATTAGAAGTCACTTTTTCCATTGAAGTTTTGCTCACACACCTGTCTGAGTACCTGAGGCTTCACTGTGCACAGCCTGGCTGTGAGGTGTTTAGGGATCAGTTGTAAATTGTAGCATCTATTGATGCAGATGTTCAGAAAGTGAGGTGTTTTGGGTATTTATACTTTGCCTCTAGGAGACGCACTGAATTCCATTGAAGAGACCTTATTTTAAGTCTTATTTGGTCAGATTTGCACGTTAGCAAGAATTTACCACAACATGGTGTGAACACAGTCTTTTGTTTATTCATGTGAAAGTCTACAAAAAACATTTTGTTCCTAAAGTCAATGAAAAATTGAGATACATAGTTTTGGATTATTAGTTTAGCCACAATTTTGGGACTAACATCAACAAAATGTAAAAAATTTCTGTTCAAATCATTACATACTATAGCATCATTGTATGTGTGTTGGATTATTCCCACAGGGGATAAACTATATGATGTGGAGCCTGATGGAGGCATCAGATTATCAGAGATGAGTATCAGTGTAAGATAACAGGCAATAAGAAACTGCACTAGATAAGTGACACAGTTTTGATTGAGTTCATTAAGAAACTGTCAAGTTTATTTATCATTATGAGCATTTTTCAACCGTCAGCCACAGAAAGTTGTGTTATGGCTCGAACATTAGTATCACACCAGTACGTTTATATCAGTGTGTTGGGCTGTTTTTTTTGTTGTTGTTGTTATTTTAATTTCTTTTAAAATGGATGTTTCTTACTGATAGTTTCGTGTTTGAACCCATCTCCACACTCTTGTTTTTGACTTTGAAATGTGTCCTATTTGAGAGAATAACCTGGCTTACTTTATGTTTTAGTGTTTTCCCTAAAAAGTTGAAAAAAATTTGACAGTTTTAGAATTGATCAGCCCATTAAATGGCTGTTATCATCACACATCATTCTTATGTATATATATTGGCCTGCAGGGACCTCCTCCACTTTCTTATAGGCACATTATCATCCATTTTGATCACTGACAAAAAGAAACCAACAGCGATAATTACTCTTGTTGTGATGTGAGTAAGTGCAGGTGAAATCTTCATTGGAGTTGTCTAAATGTGCAAACTGGAATTTTACCCAAACCAAGATCATTTTTTGAACCTAACCAAGTAGTTTTGCTGCCCAAACTTAACCAAACACTGACTGAAAAAACCCTTAAGTGAAAAGAAAAGCCACACGGGATGAAATGTATGAATGAAAAGTAACATTAATGGTCTGACATGGGATTCAAGTTAAAGTCTCTTGGCTGAAAGTTAATCTCCAGCCCTTCCAAACTCCAAATATGGACTTTTGTTCCTCCTTGTAAGTGTAAAGTCATGGCTCCACAACTATTAAATGGTTTGATAACAGCCTACTGTCCCTAGTAAAAGCTGGAAGCAGCTCCTACTGGTCTGTATGTATAAGAATGAAGTGGGATGATGGCGCTTATTGAATGGTATGGCATTGTGCATTGTGAAACATCATAGTTTGATTTTGTTCAGAAAAGTATATTCAGATTGCAATGCGTGCATGTCCTTCTTGCTTCACTGAAAAGATTCAAAGGTTAAAAGCTGCTTTAAACACTAAAC